CTGGTGCAAATTACTGACCTCTGTCATCATTTTAAGTGGGGGAACTTGCACAATCGGTGGCTGACTAAATACTTTTTTGCCCCACTGTATTTCAAAATAACTAGGCAGCTCATGCTCTTTCTCTTGATCATACTTTTATTAATAGCTAGAAATCTTTTTGAGGTCAACTTGAAAGAAAGGCAGATGAGAAAAGTAATGAGGTCAGAGGTCAAGCGTCACATGATATTTCAGTGCAGACTATAGTGTGATATTTAGAGTCCTCATATAGCAGTATCATTTCCTAAATGTCACCAATACAAAGGCAGTAGAATTTTAAGTGCAGTTTTAAAGATAAAAGTTATGAAACTTTGACCTTATTTGACTCTGAAGAATTGGCCAGACGTTCCCAGTAAAGCGATATTTAGAATTCCCGTATATCATTCCCTATATGCTTATATGTAGTCAATATAGGCATATAGGGAATATTTAGAAAACATAGTTTCTCACATAATTTTTTTTTTTTATTATCTATTATTATTATTATTTATTTTCATCTTTACAAGGTACTTTCTATATGCTGATAATACACATTACACTTATAAGAATCGTAGTTTCTAATTTATAAGGCTTTTTGTCCATTTTAAATCAATAATCCATGAGGTTGACCTGAAAGACCTTGGTGGATGGAAGTGAAAATTTAATGGGTTATTAATATGACCCCACTCAAAATTCATTCAAACCTTTTCGAACTCTATTTGGTGTATAACCTCCTTGGCGGCAGTAATAACTGCAACAAATGCTGTTAGAACCTTTTCCAGCATCCTTACTAACTCTTCCTAAATCTTCTGAGCACACATAGACCTTGTCTAAGCTCTTACTCTGTGGTGTTGCTCTGATTGCCAAAGCCACCCTGTCTCCCCCCTCCCAGAAACTCAACCTGAGGTTTCTCTACCTCAGGAACCCCGGTCCTGTTTGGAGGAACAGCAACGAGCACAACGACTGGTTTGTGAACCGAGTCCTTGGCTCAGGTGGAGCCACAATGCCGTCTGCAGGACACGTAGAGGAATAAAATGAGGGGACCTCATCACATTATGAGCCTTAGAGCATCACAGTGGGTTGGTTGCTGAACTGAAAGAGAGTCACACACAATCAAGGCTAGGACACCACCACTGTAACCCTTTAGGTTTCCAGTCTCCAGCTGTGAAAGAGTGAAACAGTAAAAGAGTTTAGAAAAACAAAAACAAATAAAAGAACTCGTTTCAAATCCCTAAATAATTTTATAATGAAACAGAACAAGCTGGAGGCAGAAAAAATATAAGATGTGAATACACACAACACTAGTAGTATTTAATGATGTATTGACTTTTAATTCGATGGTGTTTTCCAACTGTTATTATATCCATATTGTGATTTTGATACTTAATTGCTTGTAAGGTGTCCTTGAGTGTCTTGAAAGGTGCCTATATATAAAAAACACATTATTACCTTTTTCATCCAAATTGGAAGGCAGGTAAATATTAATCCAGTAGGTGGCAGAAAGTTACCTTGGTAACAATATACACAAGTCAGTCATTACCTGCTATGAAGTCTAATCTTGTACTTTTTGTGAAGAAGTCCATTTCCCTCAGCTGTTACTTCTGTGAATGTACACGATGTAAAAGGCTTCTTTTTAACACGTTTTATCATGCATTATTGCTATAAATATTTTTTAAGCTAACACATTAATTCTTTGTCTGGATTATTTGAGGGAAAACTAAAGGTTTCTGAGCCTTTCCTTGCGATCCCTCATACCAACAAGAGATAAATTACAAGGACGTGGCTTTTAGTCTTTAGTCCTCACCCTCGTCGAGGACGTTTATATGATAAAGGTGGCACGCTGAAAGTAAACATTTTTTAAAATAAATCCATAATGATTGTGCAGAACTGTCTTCCACAAAGTTTATTTTGTCTCAGACATGTCGAGAGTTATTCAGGGTGTTATTTGTCAGTTTGTCAGCTGCGTGTCTGCACTCTAGGGTATACTGCATTCATCAGCAGGCTAAATTAAACACTTCTATTTGTTTTTATGTACTGCTGTGTTTTTTTGTTGTTTTTTTTTTCAAATGTGCAGACGCAACTGTAAATAGCTCTTTGATAAGAGTTTGACAGTTGTGTGGTTAGAGAGCCCTTTTTTCAGACGTCTTAGATACTGAATATCTAAATAAAGTAAAACTATACTTGTCTTCTCTAAGAAATGTAAAAAGGACTCTTTGTTTTTCATTTAAGACAATAAATGATGTGTGTTAGGGGGCGTTTTGCTTATTGCACTGTGTACATCTATGAATATCTCAAAGAAAAATAGTGTCAGGATTTAAAAAACCCCCCAAAAAAACAGGTAGCTAGGAAGCACAACACTGTGTGTGCTGTATGCACTAATGTGAATAATACATGTTCTATAAATGTGTGTATTCTTACAATGTAAATAACATTAATCAATTCAAATTTTTAGAGGAGCTTTTTAACATTG